TGATTAGGCATGGTGAGGCTGCCAGTTCGGACCAAAAAGCAGCTGAAAAATATGTGAAGGAATTCAAGGATTACATAGACAGTGAAGACTTGAAACTTGAACAAGTGTTTAATTGCGACAAAACAGGCCTGTTTTTGAAGAAATTGTCAAGCAGGACCTACATTACTCAGGAGGAAAAGGCACTCCCAGGACATAAGCCTACTCTTCTGATGCGTGCCAATGCTAGAGGTGATTGCAAAGTGAAGCCTTTATTGGTGTATCACTCAGAAACTCCCAGAGTGTTCAGGAAAAACAATGTCCTCAAGGCTAATTTGTGTGTGCTGTGGAGGGCAAACAGTAAGGCATGGGTCACTAGGGACTTTTTCTTTGACTGGGGGCAAATGCATGGTGTAACCAATGTGAAAAATTACCTAACTGAAAAGAAATTAGACCTTAAGTGCCTCCTGGTATTAGACAATGCCTCTGGTCATCCTACAGACTTTGCAGAGCGACTTTCTGGGGACATGAGCTTCATTAAGGTCAAGTTTTTGCCTCCTAATACCACTCCTCTCCTGCAGCCCGTGGACCAGCAGGTCATTTCCAACTTCAAGAAACTGTACACAAAAGCTATGTTTGAAAGGTGCTTTGAAGTGACCACAGACACTCTAGTGACTCTTAAGAGTTTTGGAAGGATCACTTTAATATCCTCAATTGTGTAAACCTTATAGGTAAGGCTTGGAAGGGAGTGACTAAGAGGACCTTGAACTCTGCTTGGAAAAAACTGTGGCCAGAATGTCTAGACAAAAGGGATTTTGAAGGGTTTGAGGCTAACCCTGGGAATCCTACGCCAGTTGAGGAATCCATTGTGGCACTGGGAAAGTCCTTGGGGTTGGAGGTTAGTGGGGAGGATGTGGAAGAGTTGGTGGAGGAGGACAATGACAAACTAACCACTGATGAGCTGCTAGATCATCTTCAACAGCAAGAGGCCAGACCTGAGGAAACTGCTTCGGAGGAGGGGAGAGACAAATTAAAGAAGTTGCCTACTTCAAAGATTAAGGAAATGTGTGCAAAGTGGCTTGAAGTGCAAACCTTTTTTGATGAAAATCACCCTCACACAGCTATTGCAAGCCATACTGGTGACTGTTACACTAACAATGTTGTGAACCACTTTAGGAAAGTCATAAAGGAACGAGAGGTACAGGCCTCTATGGACAGATATGTTGTGCGACAGACGTCCAGTGACTCTCAAGCTGGTCCTAGTGGCATTAAAAGAAGAAGGGAAGAAACCCCGGAAAAGGACTTGCTACCTCAAGTCCTAATGGAAGGGGATTCCCCTTCTAAACATTAACAACTTCGACACTCTCCCCTCCTCCCATCCCATCAATCATCACCAGATCTTCATTAAAGGTAAGTGTCATGTATTCTATTGTTAGTAGAGTACTACAAACTGTACATGTCTTCTTCAGTTTGTGTGCATTAAACTTAATATTTCACGTGGTAAAATTTTTTTTTTTCATACTTTTGGGTGTCTTGCACGGATTAATTTGATTTCCATTATTTCTTATGGGGAAAATTGATTCGCTTTCCGATAATTTTGGTTTACGATGAGCTCTCAGGAATGGATTAATAACGCAAACCGGGGGTCCACGGTACCAACATACATCACTAATACGATGGGTTAGGTTCCAGACCACCACCGTAAAGTGTGTCACAGCCTTTTTGCACTTGTCAGTGCATATAAAAGCTTAAAAACATGTTTACAATATCATTTTAAGTGTGCAATAGTGCTAGACCTAAAAAAAAAATGCAGAAGTAATACAAAACAGTTGATTCAGATCGGAGTCAGCTGATGTGTGCATCACTGCCGAAAATAATAAACATGAATATAACCGAAAAGAACCTTATTAGTGAAGTGCTCTAAGGCGAGCACCGTATTAGCAAGGTATGCCTGTATTCAATTTTAGGCAGATGTAGATACCATTTTAGGAGATCCCAGCCTTTTTTTTTTTTTATAACACAACAGCTATTTCTCAACAAGGCAGGGTGACCTGAAAATGAAGAAACACTTTCATCATCACTCACTCCATCACTGTTTTGCCAGAGGCGCGCCGATACTACAGTTCAAAAATTGCAACATATCTCCACTCCGCCTTCAGACTGCAGACAATGTACTTCCTACCTCCAGGACTCTAAGTCCAGCTAACCAGTTTTCCTGAATCCCTTCATAAATACTATTGCCTTGTTCACACTCCAACAGCACATCAAGTCAGAAAAACCATATGCCAATACCCAACAATACTGATACTTTAACTATATTTAAAAATTGAATACTGTATATCAAACCTCAACTATATTCAACTCTTTCACTGTATCTCGCATAAATCAATGTTACTTATGGCATTGCCACCCACATAGATCTGTTTTAAGCATAGCAAACTCAGATAAGTATAGACATGAGAATGGGTCTGTGCATTGTGTGTGCACAGTATAAACAAAATCCTGCCCTATGCAGTACATGATGGGAAAATCAAACCTCTGACCTTGTGTTTGGTTTAAAATAACGACTTTGAAGTGTTTTCTAGGATACTTTTTATAGTTTTACTGGAGGTTTCTTCATGTCAACTGATAGTATGGATGACATAATATTGAAGTAGAGATGATTTTGGTCAGCTTGAAATAGAGCTAAAAGCAGCAGAAATATTAGATTTTTGATAATTTTCCTGTTTTGAGTGTTTTAACTAGGTCTGCTTCAATTGCTGGGACACCTTAATCCATTACCAATCATTCTTGGTTATATGTATATGATCCGAGAAATAGGGTAAAACTTTCATTTTTTGTGCTGATGGATTCAAAATGGAGGGCAAGTCTGGGTATGTGATTAATAAACAGAAGATAGGTTGCTTTAGTAAGTAGAATGCATAGTGTTTATTTTGAACTCTTGTTCTTAAATTGGAACTTGATGAATACAATCTCTTATCACTTAACGATGGAGTTCCATTCCTAAGACCATGTCGGTAAATGAATTCGTCAGTAAGTGAGGAGCATATTATAGTGGTAGTGGGCTTGTGTCAACCATCTTTGATATTGTTTGAATGTTACCTTTGCACCATTTATTACATTTCTGGTATATTTTTAAATATTTAAACAATAATAATAATAAACAGAACAGAGGAAATCAGCTCTAATATACAGTATTTAGACATGCATACTGGTCAGAGAGCCCATCATAAGTCCAAGTCATCGGTAAATCAGTATTGTGTAAAACTGGCCAAATTACCAACTTATGTGCACATTAAAGAGTAGCTAAAATAGCTGAACGAGCGAACTGAGCAAAATTGCAGATGTGTAAATTGTGCCCAGATCACTAACTTTGCACCAGCGTAATTCTACAGGTTTCCATCAAATTTTGCATTTTTGGTAACATTACCTTCAGAAAATGTTTACAATTTCAGAAAAATTATTTTTATTTTTTAAAAATCACTATACCATCAGCACTTTTAATTCAGAGATTGAGACAGTGAAAGTTAAACGAAAATTAACCCTCTGACTGTTTCGGTCGTATATACATGTCTTATGAGCCAATGTTTCAGACGTACATATACATGTACTCAATAATTCTAGCAGCTTCAAATCAAGCAGGAGAAAGCTGGTAGGCCCACATGTGAGAGAACAGGTCTGTGTGGTCAGTGTGCACTGTATAAAAATATTCCTGCAGCACGCAGTGCATAATGAGAAAAAAAAAACTCCGACCATGTTATTGGATTAAAATGCTGACTTTGCGGTGTATTTTTTTATAGTATTTATGGTTGTATTCTTGTTTTCTTGGTCTCGTTTGACAGAACGGAAAACATATTACAAAAACAGAGACAATTTTTATTAGTTCCACAATGAAAACGACCTGGAAATTGAGCTCAAAGTAGCGGAAATGTTGGATTTTTACCAATGTTCAAGAGTAAGCAAATCACACTACACGTCCAATACACGTCAACTAATATTCTTTCACTAGTGCACTGATATTATTTATACCATTTTTACAATAATGCAATAATCTGCATAACAGTAAATCTTCTATTTTTTGTGTGAATAAAAAATCAAAATAAAAAGCAAGAGTAATATAAGAGGGGCCTGGAGACATGACTAAAGAACAGAGGATATATTATTTTAGTGCCAAGAATGTCTGCATTGTTTATTCTGGACCCTATTTTGAAACTGGCATCTTTTTTAATTTGCATGAAATTGGCCAAATTGCCAATTTCTGACCACTTCATTGGGTAGTTGAAATCGGTAAATGGGCAGTTTCTTGTACTCAACTGATAGAAAAAATGTAGTTCTAAAGAAATAGCTATGAGTTTGGTCGACTGGAACAATGGAATTGGCCAAAAATAGGGCTCAAAGTCAGAGAAATCGCCGATGCATATATATCGCTAACTTCGGGGGAGCAAAATCCCGTGAGTTTTTTTATCAATTTTCACACTTTTGGTGCCATTACCATCGGGAATAGATTCTCTATCATTTCATAAGAAAAAATCATTTTGTTTTTTCCAAAAGTTTTTCCACATAGAATGACAGTTTCAGAAAGGGGTTTGCGACAGTAAAAGGGTTAAAGAACAACTTAACCATCTTTAAAGTGAACTGAATAAACAAATACTAACTATATTTAAACCAGACTAAAAACAAAAAGATAAATGCAGTAAACCCTCAATATACTGGACCTTAATATGATACTTTTTAAATTGAAGGCAAAATCCTCCGGTTAAATGGTACTTTTAACTCCGATATTTTCAATGTTTATATTGTAGTATATATGTAAATTGTTTGTACATTATAATATATACTGTATATACAGTCGAGTGCCTTAGTACGCTTTTTTTTTTTTCTATATTTTAACATTCTTATATAACGAACACCCCCCCCATTAGTCCATTATTTCGAGGGTAGTTTATGAGACAACTGCAACAGCACCCACCTCAAAATCTATTCTGTGAAGATTAAGAATAAGGAGTAGTAGCATATTGGTGTTGTAGAACTCATGGGCCAACTGTGCCAAGACAATGTCCTGAGGCTCAGAGTCTGTGGTGCCATAGAGCATAGTCTTGATCTGGGTCAAGCTCTTGCTTGTGTCCTCTTGTGCCTAGATAGCAAATTGAAACTTATTTTAAAGCATCATTTTATTGATAATTATTTTTTTTTTTTTTTGGTAGTAAGTGTAGGGCAAATGCAAAATACAGTATTATACCTTTACACTTTTTGCAACACTTGGATGCAGCTCCACTATCCATACAAATTACTGTGTGAATAACCAGCATAAACTATTATTTGAATTTTGTTACTATGCAAACATTAACATTAGCATCCTCTTGCATTTCTAGAAGTCAACGTTTTGAAAATTTAATGACATTTCTAATACACAACTTCCTAACATGTAGCAGACAGCCAATACAACATGTGCTACTCTATTACACCATGAATAATTTCCTAAATTTCTCCCAACCTACATGCACTAAATTCTCTGCTTTTGCACTACTCTTCTCTGACTTACTTTGCACTACTGTACATCTGCCTTCATCGTTATACATTCTCACTTGCACTCTTTCATTTCCTCTACCTCCCCCTCTCAATATACAATTACTTTTCCTTTTCATCATTACATCTGCTCTCTTTTACCCAATAACTACTCTAAATAAATCTAATTATACAATTAACTGAATCATTAGTACTTACATACCATATCCTGTAGTAAAATTACATTACTGCCATGTTCCTAATCGAGGGCTGTATACAGCACACATAACATGATTACATACACTCAATTTACAATTGCTATTGCCACAAATAATTAATTTTATAGTCAAATGTCAGAATATTATTGCAAAGTTTTGAACTACTGCAATTACACTAATATTTATTTACAAATAGGTATGTAGGTAAGTAGGTAGCTTTAAGACTTGAAGAACACCTTGGGAAATTAGATACCTCAGCACTCATTACAATAAAAAATTAATAAGATATGCAAGAATATTCAAAGCAAACAAACAGTAAAAAAATACTAGAAGAAATAAAACACAACACACACCAATACCACAACACTCAATTAAAATAACCAATACCAGTTTAAAATCCTTTTAAATTATTAATGTCAAATGACTTGAAAGTTTTATGAGATCTTTATAGGCACTCCAGTACAGTAACTATAAAAACCACAATACAAGTAATAAGGCCTAAGTCATGGGAAAACAGTTTCATGTTTTACAATCAGCCTCACACAGTCTACAGAAGCATCTGCAAACTAGAGGCTTTGGGAGATATGTATACCTAGAGTATACCTGGAGAGGGTTTCAGGGGTCAATGCCCCCACAGCCCAGTCTGTGACCAGGTCTCATGGTGGATCAGGGTCTGATCAACCATGAGACCTGGCTGATGTACGCAACCTGATGTACGAACCACAGCCCAGCTGGTGTCTAATCATCAATCAACAGTTTTCTTAAGTGAAAATTCCTGTTGAAGGAGGGAGACCAAACACCAATGTCCTGTCAAACCCTGTATAAATTCCTTTTCATCTGTAAAGCCTGCTACATCTCAATAATATATTTATGCATGTAACACATGAAGCCACTGCTATTTTAGAGCATGCTTGAAATAGCAGCCTTCACCTAAGCATTTGCCTGTTCATTTCCTGCAACACCAATATAGCCCAGGCACTAACAGAAGTACATCCTTGTGCCATGCATGGAGAATCTACAAATAGGAAAACAAATGCATAGGTTGTTACAATGGTTCAGAGCCATACCAAGCATTAAGCATGTTGCTTACAACTGGCTCAAAGCTACATCAAGATATATTTAGCAGTTCAGGACCTTTGCATACAACAGGATTTCTTGTATGTGACAATAGATTCTCAAATGCAGTGATATACATGCACAAACATGAAACAGGATCACAGTAAACAGGTGATATAACAATATGTAAAATAACCACAGTGAAAAAGCAGTGAACTTCCAAGTGCTTTTGTGATTTTTCACATTATCAAGGAAACCACTTGGAATTTTACTAGTTTTTCATTGTGATTATTTTTCATGTACAAACATCAAAGACAAAATAACTATACCACTTGTATTATAAGTAAATTATACCAATGGCAATTAAGGCCACATCATCACATACTTATCTACCTTTTCAGCCTTTTTGTCAGGTCGTTCAAGAGCTGTAAGTGCATCCTTGAGAGCTTTCGACACCTCCTGGGGGCTCTTTGGGCTCTTGCGAAAAAGGGACATCGCGGTGGCCTTCCTCCCCCGCCTTTTATAACACCATCACCTGTGAACAAAATAATCTATCAGCATCACTACATAATCCAGTATCAGAGGAAAAACTACTGATCAACATAAACAGTCACACCAGCAACTTCAGCATATTAATTTCAAAATTTAAATTTTTAACACTAGTGCTGGAACATAGTGTGTTAATATACAATTTTAGATTAATTGTTTATTGAGCTGGCATTCCAATTGTCTAGGTTGTATCACCCTGAGGAAGAAATATCAAGATACTATTTTAGGTTTCAGTTAGCCTCCAGAGTACAACCATATCTTCACTTACTTTATAGAAAAATAAAACAAGGTCACCAATGCTTTACACAATAAGTGTGCTTCCTTCAGTCTACACTACTGTAAGATTCTTGCAAAATCTTTATCAACTCGCCATACCTGTAGCCCAAATCCTTGAGATATGCATCCTTATCACATACAATCATTAGGTTTTCTTATATTTCCTTTAACCCTTAAACTGTCCAAACTGTCCAAGGTCGGAGTGCTACGCGTGCAAACGTAGATCTACATTTGGACAGTTTAAAAGTTAAAAAAAAGTACAGTGGAACTTCAGTTTTCGTTTTTAAATCGTTCCAGAGAGTCTGACAAAAACTAAATTCAAGGAAAACTAAAGCAATATTTCCCATAAGAAATAATGTAAATCCAATTAATCCGTTCCAGACACCCAAAAAATATTAACAAAAAATACATTTTATAAAGAATAACTAAAGTTTTATATACAGAAAACAATGAGAAATAAATATAAAGCACTAATTTTAATGGATAATTGAACATTTAAATCAGTTTTACCTTTATTGAAGATTCTTGTTTGCATATGGAAGACGGCGAGGAGGGGAGAGGGAGGAGAGTTCACTGTTTGGAAGGGGAATCCCCTTCTGTATGGACTTCAGGTATCAAGCCCCTATCAGGGGTTACTTCCCTTCTTTGTCTTTTACTGGCACTAGGATCAGCTTGAGAGTCACTGTACCCGTCGCACAAAAAATCTGTCCCGAGAGGTCTGTTTCTGGCGTCTCTTTAAGATTTGCCTAAAATGGGACATGGCATTGTCATTGAACATGTTGCAGACATGGCTTGAAACAGTTTTGTTAGGGTGATATTTCTCCACAAAACTTTGCACCTCGCTCCACACTGCACAAATGTCCTTAACCCTTTGGGGATTTCAGCCATACTAGTACGGCTTACGCAGCAGGGTTTTTGACGTACTAGTACGCCTAAATTCTAGCGCCCTCAAATCTAGTGAGAGAAAGCTGGTAGGCCTACATATGAAAGAATGGGTCTATGTGGTCAGTGTGCGCAGTATAAAAAAAATCCTGCAACACAGTGCGTAATGAGAAAAAAAAAAAACTTTGACCGTGTTTTTGGAATAAAACAGCGACTTTGCACTGTATTTTCGTATGGTATTTATTGTTGTATTCTAGTTTTCTTGGTCTCATTTTATAGAATGGAAGACATATTACAGAAATTGAGATGATTTTGACTGGTTTTACAATAAAAAGTACCTTGAAATGAGCTCAAAGTAGCAGAAATGTTCGATTTTTACCAAAGTTCAAGAGTAAACAAATCATGCCAAGCATCCAATACACATCAACTGGTGAGTCTAATATTCTTTCACAAGTGCGCTGATATTATTTATACCATTTCTACACTAATGCAATAGTCTGGATAACAGTAAATCTTCTATTTTTTGTAAGAATAAAAATTCAAAGTGGAAAGCCAAAGAAATATAAGAGGGGCCTGGGGATGTGACTGACGAACAGAGAACTTGTTATTTTAGTGCCAGGAATGTCTTTTTTGTTTATTCTGGACCCTATTCTGAAATTGGCATCTTTTGAAATTTGTGTGAAATTGGCAAAATTGCTAAATTCTGACCAATTTATTGGATAGTTGAAATTGGTAAATAGGTGTTTTCTTGTACTCATTTGATAGAAAAAATGGAGTTCTAGCAAAATAGTTATGATTTTTGTCGACTAGTACATTGGAATTGGCCGAAAATAGGGCTCAAAGTGGGCAAAATCGCCGATGCGTAAACATCGTCGAGACCGCTAACTTCGCGAGAGCATAATTCCCTAAGTTTTCCATCAAATTTCATACTTTTGGTGTCATTATGATTGGGAAAAGTTTCTCTATCTTTTCATAAGAAAAAATAATTTTTTTTTTTTTTGAAATTTTGGCAACCCTGAGAACAAGTCTCTGAGAGGGCCTGGCGACCCCCAAAGGGTTAATCGCTGAAGAGGGCACATTCTTTATGAGATCCACATGCAACTGCCTTGCCTTTTCGCAAATTATCGCCTCCACAACACTATATCCTGCTAACTGTTTTTTGTTGATCCACACCAACAACAACTTCTCAACATCTTCAATTGTTTGCGATCTGTTTTGTTAGCACACTTACCCCATTCACAACATCAGATTTCTTGATTTCCTTTTTTCACCAGGATGGAACTGATCGTTGATGAGGACTTCCCGTACATCCTGGCAAGATCAACCACACGTACGCCACTTTCGTACTTTTCTATCGTGTTTCTCACCTTCTTTATCAAAGAGCTGGCACTTGAAACTTTCTTTGGCCCCATGGTGGATTATTTAGCAGTCACACTCAATAAACAAGCACAAAAAAAACAAACAATCGATTATTAGGAAATGTTTCATATGAACGTGCAGGGTAATGATCACTCGACAAGAAACAAAGCCAGACTGACTCAGAATGCGTGCATGGGATGCTTCGTGTGGGCACGGGTGCACGGACATGTTCGGTATGGCGGATGAAAACTAAGGTGATAAACGAAAACTGGGACAAAATTTTGATGAAGTCGTCAAAAACCAAATTCAATGAAAACCAGGGCAAACGAAAACCTCTTATCCACTTGTAAAATTACTCGTTTTGAAAAGAGTACATGACAATTATTATTATTATTATTATTATTATTATTATTATTATTATTATTATTATTATTATTATTATATTCAAGGGAGTGCTAAATTTATAGGGGTCATGCAATTCCTGAGGATTGGGAGGTACAGTAATCAGGCTTGATACAAAGGTAAAGCAGCTTCAATTCCTTGGATTACCTAAGAGCTCCAGCTTCAATTCCTTGGATTACCTAAGAGCTCATCACCAGCATCAGTACCATCCAGTGCTGTCAAGCTACAAACCGCATTTTCATCTATAATGCAAGAATCTATGTTCCCAATTTCAATTCATCATTAAAATACGAGTTAATGCATAGTACTATAGGATAAGATAAGATTTTGATAGGATTTTTAGCCTGGAGAGTTAGCCACTCAGGATAACCCAATAAAGTCAATGCATCATCAGGGACTGTGTTATCAACTGAGCCACAGGACTATATAGAGGAGTTTTGCAAAAGATGTCAACACAATACTACAATTTAGGAATACTACACAGAGAAGTTCATCAAAGCTCTTTAATGCTCTTTTATCAGTACCTCAACTCCTGATAAACTAATAGCTATAACCTAAGACTAGGCTGATAACCATCGCTACTAATCAGCTCCAAACATGCAAACCACTCAACACTGACCTTGTGAAGCATCTCTAATGCACCTAAAGACAATTTTACTGTACATGTTAATATATAACAGTATTGTACAAGACTATTACAAATGTCTCATCTGCCACTGCCAGTAATATGGATTTGTATTACATTACCATTCAATTCTTTATTAATCTTTACAGTAGCAAGATTATTGTAATTTCCTTATTCCCTGTCCTATTAATATCCCTTATAATGTATATTCTATTTTTACATAAACTCTATGCATTCTAGAGCCCAACTCATTCCATATCGGTATGTGCAACTCAACAAAATTGCTTAAAATTGTGAAAATGCACATAATGTTTACCTCAGTTCATTTAAACTATCATGTGTTCAACTGCATAAGCCACTAAAGATGTCAAATGTTTCTTGATATCATTAAAGTAATTATTGTGTATGTATTAATTACAGTAGTTTTGATTAGTTTATCCAAGTGTGTTCCATTCAGTTGTGAAGGCTTTCAGAGTTTATTCACCCTCGCCTATATCATGGCATTTTATGCTAGAAGAAATAGCAGTGTTACCTAACTTAACTACATAGTGTGTGAACATTTACACTGTACTATACTTAAAAAAATATATACCAAGTATTTCCCAATAAGGTAAAGTAACCCATAGAAAATTGTACATTCATTATAACTTGCCCCTACTTAGACAGTTTTTTTCCCAATAGGTACTAGAAATAGTTATCCAGTGATGACAAGCTCAACATCCCCTTCTGCATGTGAATGGTTTCAAGGGCTCTTCTGCCTTCCTCCTCAGCTTGGCCTGACCAAGCTTTCCTGGTGACCACCTGGCCACCAAGGTTGCTTGTGCAAGTGGCTTGCAGATCCACACAGCTGTCACAACTTTGCAGATCCACACAGCTTTCACAACTTAGCTGATCCAGCACTTTTAGAAGGAAGCTGCTGAGCTTCTTTAAAACTTTACCTTCGTTGTGGCAATATTGCTGTTGATGTCCCGGACCAGAGACTTTCAAAGTATAATCCACCTCCAAAACTCAAGCCCAGCTAACAGGATCATCCATTCTTTGTGTATATTAAGAGAGAAGGGGGAAAAGCAGACATCACAGTAAGACAACACATCAAATACTGTGGACCACTCGCACCCTCTAACCAACTGCCAAAGCAAATACTGTACACAATATTTCTATAGCCACCAAGTTAAATTAAACGCTATGGTCCTGTAAAACATTGCTAAACATTCAAGGCACATTTTAAAAGTTGAGCATTTTGAGATGGTAGCATTATTCTGGATTTGATTTCATAGGGTGTCAGTGAAAAAGATATATAGAGTTAAAATATCTGCCTTGTGTTGTTAAAAACAACAATCTTAAGTGATAATTGGTACTGAGGTTTAAAAAAAAATGGCATCCTTTGATTAACCCCAGGACTGGCCCTGGCATGTGTCTAGGGTATGCCCTGCACCTCCTGT